CTTTGCTTGCAGCAGTGCTTGGACGTGTTTGCTTGTTGACCTGAGAGACCTAGAGCTTTCTAGGTTTTTAACGAAAACAGTGTGCGCTCCGGGAGTCTGCGTTCTCAAACCATGGCAAGCTTAGTCCTTGCTTGATCTCTTCTGCCAAGGCCAAGCGCGGCGATGGCTGATGATTCTAAGTGCAGTGTTGATGGGGGGCAGTGAAAAAGAGCTTTTTGACAGCCGAGCTGAGCAAACATACATGGAGCTAATCCGAGCTGTCGGGGCCGTATTATCAGAGAAGGAAACTCAGTGTGCTGCAAGTCCGAGGTTTCCAACAGAAGGCTGGGGACATCTACTCCGACCAAGATGCCCCCGATCACTTAGAATGTGTGTGGATGCAAGGCAACGCAGCAAAGCAAAGGTGCAGCGCGGGATCTTCCGAAAGAACTTGACAGATGAGAGACCTGGAGCTGGTGGTCAAAAAGCTTGCATGGCGAAGCACTTCCCTGGTGTTTGAACACTTGAACAATCAAAGCAGGGATTTAGCAAAGTGTGAGAAGGAATGGATTCAGGGTTCACGGCCGTGTTCGCAACGGTTCCCAAACCAAGAACCCCTATTCTATGCAGGATGTACAGCCCTAAGCACTTGTGATATTGACAGTGCATGTTCATGTTCGTGTGAGGTGGCCCCTCAAAACCCTAGCTTGCAAACTTTCAACACACGCAAAGACCCAGTGGCCAAGGATTTCGGATCTTGGCGTCCTCTGAAGTCAGCCCTCTCCTCCCATCCCCTCCCCTCCCGTCACACTCCTCCTTGCTGGTGGTGTTTCTCTTGAGAGCTCTTGCGGCAAGAAACAGCTTCTTGCGGCTGGTGCAAGAGGACAGCTGCGGAAGAATCCAACCGTTTGCTTGGGATGTTTGTTATTGAATGCGTCTCTTTCGACCACTTCTCTCGAAACTTGTTGGTGAAAAAGGACTGATGATACGACGAATAAGGACAGGAGCCCATTTGTTTCAGTGTGCAAAAGCACTACAGAAATGCCGGTGCGACTTCCGAACATGGCTTGAGGATGTAGATGTGAGAAGTGGCACGCAGCACCATGAGGTGTCTAAAACTTTAACGTTCACAAGGTTTCAAGCTTGGGTTGTCCAACTCAGTGTCCGTCTGATGCTTGTTTTTTTGCAGCATTTCTTGACTACCGCAATGTGACATGATGGAAGATTTTGTAAGTGTTTGTCCAGTTCCGTCTTAATTTGTGTCGCGCTGCACATCGCAGCGTCGCTTGCAACAGACTGTCGTTTGGATGGTGCAATTAAAGTGCATCACAGTCACAACAGCTATGACAGTTAACAACAACAACAACAACAAACAACATGAACCAGTTTTAGCAACATGTGCATGCCCGTGTCCTCCACCATGGCTGCTTTGAAGATGTTGCTTCTTGCCTGCATAAGGGGCAGTTTCGGCCTGGCTCTTTGCCGGGTTAGAGGCTTGGGGTCCTCAATTAGAAGGTTGGGGACTTAAGCATGTGGCGGGCTGGGCAAGTCATTTTCTGAATTGTTATTCCCACTCGAAGCGTGTTTCGGTGGTGGAAGGGTCGTCGGGTTCACGGCATTCGGGATTTCGAAACGGGATTAGTTGTAGGGTTTAGTTGACCAGTTATGTTCTGGACATTGAGCATAAGCCGGGAAAGAACAAACAAATGAGTTCAATTTTATTTTTGCATGTGTATTTGCGTAGTCTTGCACTGGCGCTCTCTCTCTCTGTGGTCACGTTTGATTGTTCAGAGCAGGGAAGAACAGTATTGCTATAGCTACAGTTTCTACACAAGGTCTCAATACCAACGAGCATGCGCATGGCCTAGAAGTGTTACATATCGACACTGGGCCTGGTATAGTCAACCTACAGCATCATGGAGATCGCATACGCTGAGGACAAGAAGTTACGAGCTCCAGACCGTAATTGAGGTCAGTTCAACGGCGGGATGGTTGGTCATTTAGATGCGGCCTTTGAATTAGATGATATCCACCGTCGACCTCTTCTGAAAGCTGCACGGAAACAGCCGTCATGAAAGCAAAGCCCTGAACCGAAGATTATCCCACACCGTAAGCTGTACCACCGCTCAGCAAGGTTTCCTTAAGTGGTGTTTGTACTGGGACAGACGGTCTTCCGCTGTAGCTGGTTAGCATAATGCGACGACAGAACAGTCGAGCCCCAGCAGTATATCCGTACGCAGGGAAAGGAACAGCACCCAATCATAATATGCGAAGGAGGTCTCCCGTCCAAATGGCGACGTCGAGAGGCATGTCAGGATGTTGGAACCTGCGGGGCGAGCAGATCACGTCTGGGTTTTAAGAAGGAAAGCTGCTGTGACCTGTTGGTGGGTTGTCAGGCTTCTGATGATCTCTGCTGCCTTCGGTTCCGTAAAGTTTGGTGTTAAGTGTATCTGCAAAGAAGCATACGACTAATTCGCCATGTCCAACGGGCGACGGAATCATCATGATTTGATGTGATCAGCATCTCGATCGTTGTCATCATCAGCATCTTCTCGCACATCATCGTTTGAATTTTGACCCTCGCCGCCTGTTTCTTATGCAGAACATCGATCTTCGCGCTCATCAACGCCATCGCGGTTTATGACGGATACCCTGGTCATCATCACAAGCCATCATCATCACCATCACCATCACCATCATCATCATCATCATCATCATCACCATCACCACCAATTCTCACAACTATCATCATCATCATCATCATCATCATCATCTTCATCACCACCATCATCATCATGGAAACATGTTGCCATGATCATAACTCACCATCGTCATCGTCATCCGAGTGAATCTGTCATGTCGTCGTGACTTGTGTGCCAACTTGCTCAGTTCCAGAATCGCCCGTCGTAACGGCGGTGTGTGAAATCAGATGGCTATGAGACATTCACCACATGGACAACCCAGAAAGAGATTTCGTAAGCTCGATTCCGAGCCAACCTGCGCTCCTTTCGGCACAGTTTAATTGAAAGGGATCCTTAAAGGGTTCTATAAGGGATCGATGATAGGGTTCTTGTTTTCAGGTGCGAGTTTGCTTCGACACTTGCAGCAGGAACAGCCGCACTCCAGGTCGGCTCAAAGATTTGGGCTTTGACGTGTTGCAGGTGTTTGATAGCTGGCTGCTTCTGTTATCCTTTGAGCCATCTTTGGGCCATGACCACTGGGTATGACGAAAGGAGTACATGCCGATCTTTGAGACATTCAGCCCCAGCTTCAGTGTAAAGTTGTTTCCCTTCCCGTTTGAGCCAGCATGTCCGCCCATGTCATCTTTCGAGTTCGCTGCCAAAATACGCAGCCAGGGGAAAAGGCCGGGACAGCGCAGGTGTTGGGTCGATTCATCTGCCGTGAGTCATGACGTAAAGCAACGGTGCTTAGTGCCTATCATGCTGATTCTGGGACGGGCAAAGTGGGCACCTGGTTGGTGATCCCCTGCGCTCGATTTCGCTTCATAGGCGGACATTAAGGCCCCTAAACCTAGGAATGAACCGAGAAGCGCCTGCCGTTATAGAAAGCTTCAGGCTCTTGAAAACCACCACCCCTGAGCCCTAAACCCTAAACCCCAAACCCTAAACCCTAAACCCTAAACCCTAAACCCTAAACCCTAAACCCTAAACCCTAAACCCTAAACCCTGCCAGGTCTTCGTGGTTGGCTCAGCCCCGGTCCTGGGCCGATGGTCTCCGGAGACCGCGGTGGCCCTGACGACGAATACCTCGGAGCGAGCTTAGGGCTGAGGATGGTTTAGGGTTTAGACTTTGAGATTTAGGATTCAAGATTTAGGGTTTAGGGTTTAGGGTTTAGGGGTTTAGGGTTTAGGGTTTAGGGTTTAGGGGTTTAGGGTTTAGGGTTTAGGAGGTAGACTGCAAGGGTTCTGCTCCAAGGGGCAAGGGGTTGCTACAAGGGTTACTGTAAGGCTGCCGGGTTGCCCTCTGTCTGTCTACCACAAGGGTTAGTATTGGCGCTTAAGGTGTAGGAAGTGGTTTTCCGCATGTGGGTGGGCGTTGAGTTGTTTCGATGCGACGGATTCAAGGGTGCCTGAGGCGGGTGTTGCTTGCAGTCAGTTAGGGGCTTCTTGCAGGCTTGCACATGCCTTTGTTGTGAAGTCGCAGTGGGTGTTCCCGGATAGAGCGGCCCCCACAAACTGTGCAAGACGGCCCGCAGGTCACACAACTTGCAATTGCAAAGTTCTTGAGGCAGACAAAGCGAGGGACCATTCCAACTCACTCACCATGTACTGGATTCAGGGAGGCCTGGTGAGTCTTAGAAGTTTGAAAGTCAAGATCGAGATTCGTACTATCACATGGCTTCACGGATCAAGGCTCTTGGTAGTTTAGTCCGAGTGTGTGGCCGCAAAGCCTCGCTAGAAGCATGGCGCAGACTGCCTGGCCGGCTTGGGCTGTGGCCTGGTACTCCTTCCTCTGTTCCATGGCCTTGCTGTGACCGGACAGCACTTACTTGAGCTACTGCTTGTGACGATAGAGCGGCTAGAGACCTACGACTACTGTCGTGATGAGACGCATCAGCAGTCTATGAGGACTCCGCGCCCCAGGTTCAGGGTCCAGGGAAGCTCGAGGTTCATGGTACTCTGGGTTTAGGATATGACATATCCTAAACCCAATGTCGGCTCCAGGGTTTAGTGTCTGTTTGTGTTTAGTGTTTCGCAGTTGTCAAGGCCGCAGGCACCAGGTCAGAAGCATGCGAGCGAGCTGCTTTGCGGAGGTCTCCTACTGGTGATGGTCTCATGTTTCAGGGCCTCTTCATGTGTGGTTACCAGTTCCGGAGCACTCGTCAAAGCCGTAAGAAAGTTGGAGTGGCTGGGGATCAGAGGATAGAAGTTAAATCAAGCCAGGCAGGTGAGTCTCAGGCTTGATTCTAAGTTGTACATAAAGCCCCATCGAAGAGGGTCTTTCTTCGGTGTCAAGTCTTGAAGCCCGAAAGATACATCCCCCTACGGGGCATTGGTTGCTACCCGAAGCCAACAGACTCTCGGGGACTTCCAAAACGAAGTCTCGCAAGGAACCTTTGTCTGGCCCTGTTTCTGCTGCGATGCGGCAAGCCCTCGGATCCTCGGCAAGAATATTGCATGTTTGTTCAGTTGCGGTTTGAGGGTCACAAGCACTTCAAGCCAGTTCAGTCTAGTTGATTCCATATTCGGAGAATATTGTATGCAGTATAGTACAGTGCATTGTATACTATCCAGTATATTGTCCATCTCTCTCTCTCTCTCTCTGTCTCTGTCTCTCTCTCCATATAGATGAATATATCGGGTTCGGCAGAGGTGTTGGGTAGGCTGGATGCCTGTTGCCCGGGTCTGGGGTTCGCTGGAGTCGCAACGCTTTCGGGACGTGGTGGAATCGAGGGGGCAAGAAGGACTTCCGGGTTGTTTGGGTTTAGCAGTTCTGCAGCAGGTGGACTTTTACTGGATATGCATTTGACGTTTGATTTTTCGCCATGAGAGTATCACCCACACACACACACACACTTGTGTGTGTGTGTGTCTGAGTTTAAAACAAAGCCTGCCTTCAATGTGCATAAGGTGTAGCTCAGATGGAGGCGGTTTCGGTGTTCTCTTTGCTAGATCAGATAACATGTGCAGAGCCTCCAATCTGCACAGGCTCCTCAAAATTGAACCTGTTTCTGCAGTGTTGGTGAAACTCCACGCAGAACAGGAAGACGCTCGACCGTACTGGTATCGGTTTAGCTTGCGCTGGCTTGGTGCAGTCTACGTCCTTGTGGCGGCTTGGCCGGTTCGAGGTTTCGAAGCTGTCGGAGCTCGTGATTGTCGGGCTTCTGACTTGTGGCAGTGCATGTTCAAGAAATAATCACAAAGCGAGATTGCTTGACCGGTGCCACCTGCAGGTTTCTCTCTCTTCTTCTACGTACATGTCTCTCCTTCTTCCTGTCCGTACATGTATAGTCACCGCGACAGTAATGCAGCGGAGATATCCGCAGTCCTGTGAGTCCTCGTTTCTTCTTTTGTCGCGGAGGTCCACATTCTTGATTCTGTCAAATGGTTTGGTAGTTGAATGCCCCATGCATCAGGTTGCATATCGAAGCGTCTTTCCGGCAGACTACCCTCACCGGTACGTTTTCTGGGACAACATGATGAGCAGCATTCTCATCCATCGACCCTTGGCATCACTTATGTTGCCTTTCGAGTTTTCCCTCCTCCACCACAGTTCGCCGTGGTCTCAGGTGTGAGCCAGAACCGGTCTGCGCTTCGAAACACCCGTCGTAAATTTACTAATCGACTGGAGCCGAAGGAAGCCAAAACACCCGCAGCCCAATCCAAACTATTACTAGTACTACTACCCTAAACCCTAAACCCTAAACCCTATGTATAGCTATTAATGCACTACGAGTCTTCTCCCAGAGCCTTTGCTGAGCCTCTAGGACGCTTGGGCGTCTTCGCTCTCCCAGATCCCGAACAGAAGTGAACAAAGATTTGCCAGTATTAAATTATAGTGTAGGGCTTAGGGTTTAGGGTTAAGGGTTTAGGTTTTAGGGTTTAGGGTTTAGGGTTATTGTATGGTATGTTACAACTCGTTATAATGTATTCAAAAATGTTATAGTATGTTTTAGTTTTTTTATATTTTTATAGCATATTATATTATGTCATAGATTTAGTGGCTCTAGTCGCGAAAACATGCGAAAAGCAGAACAATGCTTGCGGAACCCTAGATCTGCGGGCGACCACCTCCAGGCTGAGCGTAGGCTGCGTGAAAAGGGCTCCAGAAGGGTTCTAACCATAAAGCGGTTTAGGGTTGAGTGTTTCATAAGGGTTCTACACGCCTAGGTTTGAGGGCTTGAAAACTCAATGCCAGCAGTAGTTCGGATTTCTTCTTGAACTCCAGACATCTCGAGGCCTGGGATGCCGAAGCTTCACCTTTTCCGGGACCCTAGGCCCCACACATACCCGGGGGCTGATGCATAAGTTAAGCACTCAACCCTAAACCCCAAAGCCTAATCTAGGGGCCTTTATAATTAGAATAGGGTTTTGGGGTCCTTGAAACTATGAGGGCTTGCTTGGAGGTTCATGGAAAGTTATAAGTAGGGTTATAAGTCCCCTAATTAGGGTTATAATTATAGTTACCCTACTTATAACCCCACTTATAACTACCCATGAACCTCCAAGTAGGGTTTTGGGGTCCTTGAAGCTATGAGGGCTTGGGGTCTCTTCCCAGGAGCCTGTGCCACGGTGGAGGAGCTGGCCTGGGTCCTGCAGATTGCCATCATCCAAAGCTTCTGCGCAGCCCAGGCCCAGGCTACCTCCTGAAGGGGGGCTCCCTGAGAAGGTTAGGGTAAAGAGGGGTTAGGGGGTAGTATCAAGGTGCCACATCTTTCTGATGCCCACAAATTAAAAATCTGTTTGAGTTTTTGATCTTGAGCGGTCGGAAGTCGGCTTTTGCATTGCTTGAGGATTTTGAAGGGGGATGCCCACGACAAGCCACATGCTTCAGCTCTAGGCTCCCACGCCTGAGATGCTCAACCGAAGTCCTCAGCGGTTTAGGGTTTAGGGTTTTGGGTTTAGGGTTTAGGGTTTAGGGGAATTATTAGGGTTCAGGGCATGCTTGCAGACGCACCCGTGTCAAGACCTTCTCTTCAGACTGTCATTGCTCTGCCTGTTCGATGCTGTCGCAAGGATCCTAGACGCAGCATGTCGCGCTGGAACGCCAGATCAAACCGCACGGAAACCTCCGCAGATATCCGCAGATTCAGAGTCTAGCAACCTAAGCCGAAATTCGAGGAAGGCTCATGACAGTGTCGATCCCAAGCAGGCCCAAAGTAGGTTCCAGCTCAAGTAGGTTGGTGATTTAACTTGGCCCAAGACTCGAGTGGTATCAGTGATAGTAACAGCAATAAACACAGTAACGATAGCAATATAGCGAAACAACAATAGTAGCGGTCCTAGTAGCAACAATAAAAGCAATAATGGTAAGACTCATAACTCATAACCATAGTAGTAATAGGACTGAAAGCGACAATAATACTTGTAATACTAGTGATGCTAGTGTTACTAGGAAGAATTATAGGTGGTAGTAGTAGTGGTAGTAGTAGTAGTAGTAGTAGTAGTAGTAGTAGTAGTAGTAGTAATAGTAGAAGTAGTAGTAGTAGTAGTAGTAGTAGTAGTCGTAGTAGTAGTAGTAGTGGTGTAGTAGTGGTGGTGGTGGTGGTGGTGGTAGTAGTAGTAGTAGTAGTAGTAGTGGTGTAGTAGTGGTGGTGGTAGTAGTAGTGGTGTAGTAGTGGTGGTGGTAGTAGTAGCAGTAGCAGTAGCAGTAGTAGTAGTAGTAGTAGTAGTAGTAGCAGCATGAATAGCAGCAAGGGGAACAACAGCAATGTGGAGCATTCCGGCTGTTGAGCAGGTCAGGCCAGGACGGGCCTGTTGGCCGGTCGTGCTAGCCACTTCCGTCTGCATGGCGGCCCATCACAGCAAGTATGCTTTGCCGCATTTTTTGTTGGCAGGTAGGTAAAGAAGGATCTCCTGTCAACGGCTCGAAGTAAGGTTTGAATTCGATAAAACTGGTGAGAGAGCAATTAAGTGAACCGACCACCATGGTCGTTGTCGAGGGGTAGTCATCAGTCAGAAGCTTTGATAGACAGTAAGGTTCTCATCATCGTCGTTGCTGAGTGCTTCTCCTTCACTGGCACGATTACGCAGGCTTTCTGCTGGTTTGCGTTGGAGGACCCGTCTTCGTGAAGGTACTTAATCGTTCGTCGCACGAAATTCGTAGCCGTTGTCGTCACAGTCGCAGTCGCAGTCGCAGCGGCAGCCGCAGCCGCAGTCGCAGTCGCAGTCGCAGTCGCAGCCGCAGTCGCAGCCGCAGCCGCAGCCGCAGCCGCAGCCGCAGCCGCAGCCGCAGTCGCAGCAGCACTAGCACTAGCACTAGCACTAGCACTAGCACTAGCACTAGCACTAGCACTAGCACTAGCACTAGCACTAGCACTAGCACTAGCACTAGCAGTAGCACTAGCA